CAAAAATACACAACTGCCACATAATTTTAAGATACAATGACTTGTATTTCTTTTGAGTCTCATGATATTAGTGCTTATAAAGTACAGAACAAAATAGGACTTTTATTTAAAACTTGCTTATTTTTACATGAAAAATTGTGCTGTCTGGTCATATGTATGTGAAAGATCCAATTTTAGTGAACAGTATTTTCCCCCCAAGGGGCAATGTTACATTTACAACGAGAAAGGAACCGTTGTGAATTGAACATTGTCGTCTCAGTCTAAACATTGAATTAATGTGTTTTTTGTTATATGATTTCCTTTCTAACATAAACATTTTAGGAAATAAAGACTCTAGAGATACTTGGGAAAATGGAATCAGAGATAATGATAAAAACCAAGTCTTTTTCTCCAGCCTCAGATCTGCTATCACCACAAACTCTAAATTCTGCCCTTAGCATAAACATGCACTTCCCAAACAATATACCCAAGTGAGGAAATGATTAAACATGTTTATGGACTGAGGGGAAGAAGCCAGGGGAGAGGAGAGGTTCTGATAAGGATAGAGGGATAATTGATGGAGAAAGATCCCAGAGGAGAAAGTCAAGGATGAATTCCAGAGTCCACCAGATGGATTTGCCCTTTATAAGAGGAAGCACTATTCTTCCTCTGACATAAGAAAACGGTGCATGTGGATTGGTGAGGGGTATGATACTGAGGGAATTTATACCTGATAGTCTCTACTTTCTCTGAAAAATCTAAAACAGAGTTTACATAAAAAAGGAGGGAGGTGGGTGGGGAGACTATCTGATCACAACAGCTATGCAAGATAATAAGCGCATTAAAAAATTGACTGGTTGAATAAATCAATTAGACTTATTCTATAAAGGTCAGATTACCTAGTATTCTTTTAATAACCTAAAGCTGATTGTATCAGGAAATTGTTGATCTTCCTGTGCAGACTACAAGATAACTTACAGGTTGTAACTAAAGGCATTGAAACAGACGAGGGAGAGAACTGTATAAAAGGAATATATAATTAGGTATTATTGGCATGACAAGAGTCCAGACCAAGAGCTGCATAGTAAAGTGGTCTGAGGTGGTGGTGGTAGGGGGAACTGTATAACAATGAAAGAATGTTTTTCCTAAAGAAAAAAAGCTATCAGGGGTTGGGGGTGGGTGGGTAGGGAGTGGTATGGAGGAAAATGAGCAACAGTGAACAATTGGAAACCCAAGTTCTTTATAAACATTCATTAAAATAAAAAAATTACTCACTATTGAAAAAAAACCACCAAAACACCAACAAAACTTACGGGGTACAAAAATCCCTGAATGTTCTTAAAAACTATATTATTTACTTACGTTGTTTTTGTGTGCTGTCCAGTCTAAACTAACCCATACCCGACCTTCCAGCAATTTCTCAGAGGAGATTAATCACACAGGAGGAGATTGCTTGTAGGTGTATATGTGTGTGTGTATGAACAATTTTTCCACCACCAACTCCCCTAATGTTTCATGTAATGTTACTGAATATGACTACAAGATGCTGATTAATTAAAATGTCACACATTGAACATAAAACCGTTATTATATGAGTGTAATGAAATAGAAAGATTCTATAGAAAATAACTTCAACAAAATGTAATTGTATATACTTTGACTGGGGTAGTGGGGAAAAGTTGTTGAACATAATGAAATTGGCTCAGGATACAGTACAGAACTACTGTACATAGGGTTGCTAGCAGTTGCAAGCAACTCGACGGCATGTAACAGCAACATACACTTTGAAAAAACAGGGAGAAATGCTTGATGTTTTCCTTTACCACTGAACATGAATATTTAGGATAATCTGTGTTCTCTTCTGAAAATACACACAGAAGACTACTGCTTAACTGTATCCTGAAAGAATCCCGACACTGACTCTACAGTTGAAAAACTGCCAAATCTCAGAACTGCCACATCTCCATTTTCTGTGTAAATATTCTCATTCATTTCCCTAAATACTGCTTTTCTCTATCCTCCTCTCGCTATCAAAGTCTGAGCAACAACTGATGCATCTTGTGTTCTCTTTTAAGATCTGCAGTAGGTTTCTAGTTGATGTTGACAGCTTGTAATTCGGAAACAAGTTTTTGTACAGGTCAGTTGGACACATTTTATGAGAGGAAGGGTAGAACAAAGCTTGTTTCTTTGTGCTGCTATTTATTTCCTCTGCAAATCTGTTTATTGCACTTCTGCATATGCAGAAGCTAATATAAGGTAAGTGCTGATCTGGAAGCTACACTGCCTTTTAACCAATTTTAGAATGTATCAGGTGGCTTAGTGGTAAGGAATTGCACTGCCAATCTAATGGTACATGGTTCAAATCCACCAACTTCTCCGCAGGAGAGAGGTGGATGGTCTTCTCCTGTGCAATTTACTGTCTCTGACAACCCCCAGAAGGGTCAGCTATGGGTCAGTTCCAAGTTGATGTACACAGCAACAACAAGAAGCAATGTCTCCAGTGTTTTACATGAGATTGAGTGGGAGATTTGCAAGTATTTGAGGAAACAGATGCATTAAAACAGGAAAGAATTTTTTTTAAAGGAAAGGAAAAAATCAATCAAAATTCTACTGCATCTCTTAATAGGCTTCAAAAGAAAGCAATAGAGAAGGTGGAGGGGGGACAGCTGTAGCATACTTCAACTAATATTTTTCTCTTTTTCCTTGATATACAAAAAAATCAGTATATTCTTTCCATTTCATCAAGGAGAAGCATATAAAATGAGACCATTTCAATTGGGAATTTAAGCTTTCAGTAGTATGTTAATTGATTTTTTTCTTTCTTTTATAGGGTCCTCTGGGTCCTCCAGGACAAAAGGTAGAGTATCAACAAAAATTCTGTGAAAGTAATTATGCTTCCATTGTGTGATGGCTAATATGAGAGAGGAATGGAATTTGCTACTGTAAGGCATGCTGAAGTAGTTGGTCTGGTTTGTTCATTTTGCTTTCTCAAAAATAGTCATATAATGTGACCCATCTGATTTCTAATGGACTCCATTAGGAAAAAAACCCAAAACTAAATACATACAGAATAGACTCTTCCATCTGCACTGTCCTTGTAGGTTATTGAATTTTTAATTCAAATAATAGTAAAACACTGTAACAAAACACATAAAAGGTCCCTACAAATTGATGTATAATGTATGTTGTTGTTGTTTGCCTTCAAGTCAGAACCAACTCATAACTGACCCTACAGCAAGTTTTCAGAGGCAATGAATCCCATGAGAGAAGATTGCCATTTTTTTCCTGCAGAGCAGCTAGTGAATTTGAACTGCATGCCTTTGGGATTGCAGTAGAGCTTCTTACCAGTAGGCCATCATGCTTAAATGTTGTAGTTATTGTTGTTAGGTGCTATCCAATTGAATATGACGCAGAGAGTCCCTATGAACAACAGGTCTGAACCCTGCCCTATCCTGTGCCATCCTCACAATCTCTGACACACTCAAGCCCATTGCTAAAGTCACTGGGCTTGAATATATGAATGTGAAATAACCTTAGAACTGACTAGAAAAGAGGTTGTAAATGTTGCTCAGTTAGACATCAAGTGGCTCCTTAGTATCTCCTTTTGTCAATTCAGAGAGCTCTGGTGGTGTGGTCCTCCGGAGTTGCAGGGTTAACTCCCAGGCCACATCTCTCTGGTAGTTCAGATTCAGCAGCTGCCTTGAAGAAGAAAGTTAAGCTTTCTCCTGCTGTGTGATTTATAGCCTCCACGAAAACCCGCTGGAGGGTCTGCCATGAGTCAGCTCTGACTTGACTGCAATGAGTTTGAGTGTTGCTAATGTAAACTGAAAAGTGACTTCCCACTTGTCATCCCAGCATTATTCCTAGTCGTCAGAACTGACCACAGCATTCTGATGGAGAGCGTCTAAGGCTTCCGAGTTTACACCAATGCAGCAGTAAGAAATCTATCAATAGTGGGAAGATAGCTCTTTGTCAATAAAATAATCACTCAGTTCTTATTCCCTGTTTTGCCTCCCACAGAGATTCTCTCTGTGGTGGGCATTTAACCTACAGAAAGCTAAAGAAAACAATTGTGTTATAACAGGTGGAAAAGTGATTATTATTTATCTTTGGAATCTATCAAGATAGAAACTTTTTATCCACCAAGCACTGGGCATGTGGCATCTGTTGTAACATAATCCTACAAACCAAGTAAACCCAGTGAGTTGTGAGACAACTTGTGTGTAGGAACACTTTGTCCTTCTCAATAATGTCTCTATTAAGCACAGTGTGAAATTGTAAAGCTACCCTAATCCACATGCAACCAGGATACAATTACTACTTCAGGCCTCGGGAAGTCGTTTAATGACCCACACAGTCTAACCAGTGGAAGCTGCCATCTCAATTTGTTTTGTATATAAATACAATTTTTTCAATTATTATTAAGGACATTTAATATCGCATATCTATTAAGAAAAACCAGCTTTCTAATGTTAGAAAAGAATAAGCCCATTGTATTTAAAAATGGTTTCTCCAGACCCCAAAGAGGAGGTCTAATGGAGGGAAATGACATCACTGAAAACATTTGCTAATGTTTCTGTGTCCAGTTAAATGTCATAGATTCCTCAGATAATAATTAACTTTCTATTCTCACTTCACCCTACCTGTGTCTAAATATATGCACACATATGTGTGTGCAGTTTTTTAGACAATGTTTTTGTGTTGTTTGTTATACGTAATATTTATGTTATTTTGCATTCTACTTTGGGAGGCATGGCCACACTCCAATGGCTTAAATATAGTCCCTGAAAGTATAGAGGGGAAATACTTCAAATACTACAAGTTTGAGCATATTGATCTGATTAATTAGAACAGAGGATTGTTATTTCAATTATTTATTCTTTTATGATTTTTAAATTCATAACTTAAAAATATTCCTTAGTTACTGTTGCTGTTAGGATTTTTACAGATAAAATGAGCTGAATTATTTCTTAAAAGTACCAAAACGTAAAGTTATGTGACCTTTTTGATACATACAAATTTCAATTTGTTATGTGATATTAAAAAAATCACATTGAGGTCAAGTCTGTATTTAGGAGAAAAGATAAATTTTAATTCTTTTTTCCTGGGGAATCTTAATCTGCCTACGTGTTTTGATTCAAGCATAGTATAAGAGTTGTGAGAGATAAACTTTCAAACATAACCTGTAGTGTATTTTTTAAGATAGATGATTAAATAAAGAAGAGAAATAGCCTTCCTTCAGAAAAAGCTCCCATTAACATGCATAGTAGAGCAAGCTGTGTTCGCGTGATAAAATGATGACAGATATGGCTAATATAAACTTATAAATGAATTAGCTTTTTTTAAAATTAGCTTTAAATTATGATACTCATTTTGTGTTATCACATGTCTACTTAGGGTTCTATAGGACTACCAGGCATCCCAGGGACGGATGGACAAAAGGTAAGTTCTATAGAATACAGCATATTTTATATTTTGGATAACATTAAAAACACAGAATTTGTCTAATAAGTACTATCAGTAATGATTTTGTATGCTTATTAAACACACTTCTGGAATTATGGTGAAATTGGTCAAAGTATTTTAATTTGTAAAAATTGGTGAACTAGAGATACTTTTTATACATTACTTTTTGTGTTATATATGAGCTACAACTTCATTTTATATAAAAATGGAATGAAGAAAGTGGTATATTCAGTATTAAATAAGATTATAAAGCTGGTTTCTTCTATGTTATGATAGAACTAATGTTTTCAAAGATGTAGATAAAACTGTATCTAATCTAGAATTACTCTTATATCAAAGTTATTCTTACAAAGATAACCTATTGGGCCTGAATCCAAAAGCATGATCTTTTTATTATTTAGTGAAATTTAGAGTTATTTAAGTAGATTAGTTCTGAAACTGTTTTCCTATTGTACTAACAATAATTAGAGAAGACAAAGCAAAAAAGAAAAATCTATAATTCTCCCTACACAACTCTAATAAATATATACATGTATGTGTCTGTGTACATAAGCACTTGTGACTTACTTTGAGTTGGACAAAGCATCTAGCATTATCCCTCAAATAAGTCTGGTACCCTGTGCTTCCCCAACATCTAACAAAGCCACTCCCTGGAGCGTTCTGCCAAGGGCCAGAAAGCTGAGCTGGGGACTTTCCTGTCATTGGCAGCACTCTTAGCCTGGCCTTTGAAATTCCATGTATCATCAGCATGTCTTCCCAGGTGTTTTGAATTGTTTGATGTATTTAAGCCCAAGCTTATTGATCTGTATTTTGTAATCCTTAAAGAAGAAGCCTGTTCGTGGTCTTTTCTGTCTTCTCTGTATCCATCTTGTTCATGTCTATCAATTCTATCAACAAGATAGTAAGAAATAATGATCATGATTTTAAGGAGCCCTGGTGATGCAGTGGTTAGAGCGTTTTCCAGCTAACCAATAGGCTGGTGGTTTGAGCACTTCAACCCTTTCAGCAGGAGAAAGATGAGGTCATCTGCTTCCATAAAAGGTTGTATTGGTTGTGTGTTGTGTACCATTGATTTGGAACCTATAGCTGACCCTCCAGTGGGTTTTCAGAGGCAGTTAATCATACAGAAGGTTGCCCATACTTCTCCTGAGAAGCAGCTGTTGGATCTGGACTATGTGTCTTTGGGATTGCATCATAATTTCTTACCACTAGACCAATCCAATGAGATAGATCTACTCTATCTTGTAGAATAGCTATGAGTCAGAATTGGCTCTATGACAGTGAGTTGGGGTTTAGTTCACCACAAATTTTAAACCATTGAGTATCCCAGAAAATTTGTCCAGTGGCCCACTGAGACTACTGAGTGTCTGCCACTCAGTGACTCGGAATTTTGGCAAATTCCTTGTATTCTAGGGCCCTCTGATTTTTTCTTTTCTGTATAACAAACACAATAGTAAAACCTATCTTATATAATCAACACTCTTGGCACTAACAGCCAGGAAATTAAAAGATGTATTGCATTGGGAAAGTCTGCTGTCAG